CCCGCCCCGGCTGCCTGTCAGCCCTACAGGTGAGAAGTGAGAACTGCGGCTCCGGGGTTTGGTACCAACTTGTTCCAGTGGTAGTGAGTTAGTAAGAGGCGGAGACGAGTCGAGGATCGCACTGGGACTGCAGGGACACTAGGGGGAGCAGGGGGTGAAAAATCAAGATATTGTCATGAGTTTTAGTTTCGCGATATGTTGCGATATGTTGTGCTGTTGCCCAGGTATGGTGATACGTATCGTGTCGCCAGATTCCGACTTCACTCTGGTCGTCTCTGAATGTCTGTTTCGTCTCTTCCTCCTCTCCCTCCTCCTCCTCTTCCTCCTCCTCCTCTTCACCCTCTCTCTTCCTCTTCTTCTTCCTCCTCCTCCTCTTCTCTCCTCTTCCTCCTCTCTCCTCTCCCTTCTCTCTCCTCCTCTCCTCCTCTTCCTCTCTCCTCTCCCCTCTTCTTCTTCCTCCTCCTCCTCCCCCCCCTCCTCCTCCCCCTCTCCTCTTCTTCTTCTTCCTCTTCCTCCTCCTCTTCTTCTTTCTCCCCCTCCTCTTCCTCTTCCTCCTCTTCTTCTTTCTCCCCCTCCTCTTCCTCTTCTTCCTCTTCTTCTTCCTCCTCTTCCTCTCTCCTCTCCCCTCTTCTTCCTCCTCCTCTTCCTCTCCCTCCTCTCTCCTCCTCTTCACCCTCTCTCTTCCTCTTCTTCCTCCTCCTCTTCTTCACCCTCTCTCTTCCTCTTCTTCTTCCTCCTCCTCCTCCTCTTCTTCTTTCTCCCCCTCCTCTTCCTCTTCTTCCTCCTCCTCCTCTCCTTCCTCCTCCTCCTCTTCCTCACCCTCTCTCCTCCTCCTCTTCTTCCTCTTCTCTCCTCTTCCTCCTCCTCACCCCCTCCCCCTCCTCTTCCTCTTCTTCTTGTTCTTCTTCTTCCTCTTCTTCCTCTTCTCTCCTCCTCTTCCTCTCCCTCCTCTTCCTCCTCCTCTTCCCCCTCTCTCTTTCTCTTCTTTCTCCTCCTCCTCCTCTCTCCTCTTCCTCCTCTCTCCTCTCCCCTCTTCTTCCTCCTCCTCTTCTTCTTTCTCCCCCTCCTCTTCCTCTTCCTCCTCTTCCTCTCTCCTCTCCCCTCTTCTTCCTCCTCTTCCTCTTCTTCCTCTTCCTCTCTCCTCTCCCCTCTTCTTCCTCCTCCTCTTCTCTTCTCTCCCTCCTCCTCCCCCTCTCCTCTTCTTCTTCCTCTTCCTCTCTCCCCTCCCCCCCCTCCTCCTCTTCCTCACCCTCTCTCCTCCTCTTCCTCACCCTCTCTCCTCCTCCTCCCCCCCCCTCCCCCTCCTCTTCCTCTTCCTCCTCTCTCCTCTTCTTCCTCTTCCTCCTCCTCTTCTTCCTCTTCCTCCTCTCTCCTCTCCCCTCTTCTTCCTCCTCTTCTCTCCCCCTCCCCCCCCCCTCCCCCTCCTCTTCTCTCCTCTCCCTCCTCCTCCCCCTCTCCTCTTCTTCTTCCTCTTCCTCCTCTTCCTCTTCCTCCTCTTCTTCTTCTTCTTCCTCTTCTTCTTCCTCCTCTTCCTCTTCCTCCTCTTCTTCCTCTTCTTCTTCCTCCTCTTCCTCTCTCCCCTCCCCCCCCTCCTCCCCCCCCCTCCCCCTCCTCTTCTCTCCTCCTCTCCTCCTCTTCCTCTTCACCCTCTCTCTTCCTCTTCTTCCTCTTCTTCTTCCTCCTCCTCCAGGTTCCACGACTGTGGGAAGTCTCCGTCTCCGTCCTCCAGCGTCTGCAGCAGTAAAAGTGGATCAGAACGTAACAACAGCAACAACAACAACAGCTTCGAGTCCCGAGTCCCGGACGTGGCCACCGTTCCAGATCAGGACTCGATCAAACCCCGTCAACCCCACGACCTGGGCCTGACCCACGGCGCACCCCAGGACTACGGCAGCGTCCTCAACATGAGCGGAAAACCCGGCGTCGTCGGACACCACATCTACGCACCCTACGGCGCCGAGCAGCCGCTGGGCCAATGGAGCGGCCAGCCTCCGGCCCAGTACCCGCACCAGCCGCCGCCCCACCACCATCACCACCACCTGACGGCGGACTACGCCCCCCAGGCCGTGCACCACGGCTATCACCACGGCAACGTGGCCGAGTGGAGCCAGTACCCGCTGTTCTCCTACTCCTGCTGGTGAGGAGGACAGCAACAACAACGACGACGACGACGCTAATCCGACGACGCTAATCCGACGACGCAAACCTGCATGTCCACCGGCGGCCGTGATTGGAGGGAGTTTTACTTGACTGTTTATTTATTTTCTTTAATTTCACCTGTTGCTCAAGTGTAAATATTAGTTTTTGTATAAATGGGACGGCCAGGAGGGGGCGCTGTTTTGAAACGTTGAGGAGCATGTGCTTTTGTCATGAGATTTGGGAAATGAAAAAAAAAAAATAAAAGATGACGTTGAACCGCAAACTTTTGTGTGTTTGTTTTCTTCCTGTTTCCAAAAAAAAAACAAAAAAAAAACAAGTTCTCAAGCGGAGGCTCGCGGACCTAAAGCGGTACGCGCCGAGAGCAGGAAGGGGACGTTAATACGAGGGTGAGAACTGTCGATGACTTTGAAAAGAAAATGACGACGACGACGAAGGTGAAAAAAAAAAAAAACAAAAAAAAAAACACAGAGTTAACGTCCCATGTTAGGCGCCCCCACAGG